ACAATTTTTAAAAACAATTCCTTGTCATCGTCCATCAGCTGTTCTTTCAGTAATAACTATGGGTCTAGTAGTGGGTTAGAAGTTGGAGAACACTTCACAGAGTGAATAAATTCATCCATGGAAAGATTGTCTCTGAAGAATGAGGAAGGATACATGATTACATATTGTATTAGAATCTAGCTCCAAGTGTCATGCCCACAAAAGAAAGTAGAAAATAAAATCTGAAAGAGGAACAATTTGGAGTCAGTATAGCAAGAACAATACCATGTGAGGAATACAGCTTACTGTTGATAAGGAATTGAATTATTTACAACTAGTACCTTGCTGTGAACAAAGAAAGCTGAAATATTCATATCGAGGTTATCTAAATGACTTTGAAGACATAGAAAAATTATTTTAATATAAGCTGATGCAGGCTATAAGGATGAGAAGGCAGAACCCACTAACATCTTGGGAATTGTAAAAGGATTTTCAGAGCTGAGATGTCAATAACTTGAATTTGCCATATAAGAGGTTTCACTAGACAGCAAATTGGGATGGCCAACTGGCTGACAACTCAGGGGTGGAGACAGTGATTTACAGTAACATTCTGGAGAATGGGAATAACAATACATACATGAGAACTGGAAGCAAGAGATATCGAAGAGAGAGCTAGAGCCTCCCAATGGCCAGAACCAGATCTTTACAATATCTTAAACTCCTTTTAAGACTTCAGTCCCAGAGGACAGAATTCACTTTCTCCATCCTCAGAACACAATGGCCTGAGTGTCTCTCTTCAGTAAATGCAAGGTTCACATGGGGAACAGGTGAAATAAGGACACACATTACTCTGCTGAGGAGTTTGTACTTGATCCTGTGAATAACGAGAAATCAGCACAGAGTTTTCATGAGACAAATGATTTGTTTCAAATCTGTATTTTAGAACCTCACTCTGAACTTGGCAGTGTAGGGGTGGATTTAAGTAGATGGGGGAGTGCAAACTTCTATGCAGAAAGATGAATTAGGAAACACCCCCCGGTCATCCTGATAGCATATGCTGGAAGACTGAAGGAAGATTGACTCAAGAGTCGTGGAGGAACACTGCTCACTACCTTTCTACAGAGGTGAGTCTTCACAGGTACACAGCCCTGTATCCTCATTCACATGGGAGAATCAATTCCCTCCATGGTAAGAATGTAATCCAAGCTCTGGGAAAGAGCTATTAGCCTTTTGAATACATTTGATAAATTTATATGTTCATGCTAGTGGTAAAGCTGTGTATGGCCTTAGAGTAAAATAAATAAATAAAAAATGATAGATAGACAGATAAAACACTGCCTTTTATAGAAGAATGTCTGAATTCTGTTCACGGCCATTTAACATAGTAGCAACTTGACTTTGATTAAGTTCTTTATCCTACCTCCCTGTATCAGTGACATAAAATTTGAGATATAACACCAGTATCATGAGATTGTCAGAGTCTGCTGAAGAAAATATATGTTAGAGTCTCTTTGAAGTCCTTGAACAATAGTGCAAACATCAGGTATTGATTTTGATGGGCAGAGATTGACATTAACTATTTAAAAGATAAGGTATCTGTTCTAAATTTTGGATCACTAGCTGGATGTGCATGGGATGTCTTCTAAACCTTGCCTTCCATAACAGTTTTATTTCTAAAGAAAGCTCATCCCCAGTTACGGAGCATTAAAAGAGATTTCAACCAGAAGACAAGCAAGCTGATTGTCCTATGTCATTACTGACTCAAGTTTTTTTTTCTAGAAGGACTACATTCTGGAGGGAGTTCCTGAGTACCCTTATGATTACAACCTGTAAGGTCACAGACTATAAAACACCCCAGGACAAAACCTCTCTATTTACGGCTCTTCCCATGTGTGTGACCCTGTGTCCTCCAGCACATGCTTTATTTCAATTAACTTTTCACAGTCTTCTTGTTCCCATTTTTCTTTTGCTATTTGAGCACTGATCCTTTCTCTTCTTAGTAGCTTGTGGAGAACTCAAGACCCCATTAAAGTCAACAGACATGTGTCCTTGATTAACAAGAAAGATGAATGGCAATAAGGGTTGTAGACAATGTGGATCCATGAAACGCCTTAAACTCTACTGAAAATAAAAAAAAAGGGCTTTGTCCAGAGTCTGGGGCTCCTGCTTCACAGTGAACAGATGGCTCAGAGTCATGGCACGACACCTCCACTTTCCTGTCATGTGGAGAGATGGAAATTGAGACACTCAGTGCTGCAGAAGCACAGCACTTGAGTGAAAACACTTGAATATCATTGTGGTGAGTAATCTTAGTAAAACACACCTCTGTATGCATTTTTGTGGATGTTACCAGAGAATATTGATATGTAGGATGGCAAATAATGGGGAAAGACCCACTCTGAATGCTGGCTGGACTATCTAATATATGAGGGGCCTGCGATGGAGTAAAAGTGAGATCAATGTAGGAGTTACTACTAAACCCCACAATGCCTTGCTTGATGGACTGAATCCTGTGATACTATGAGCTAAAATAAATTCTTCTTCCTTTGAGTCATTCTATTGGGTATATTATGATGTGAACGAAATTGGTACATTCAATGCAAGTGCTCATAGTCTTGAAATGCATCCTGCTTCATTTCAATCCTTTGCTAAATGCTTAGCCTATAATAATGATAAAGCCCTGGTTTCCATACTCTGAGGATGGAAGAATAGTTGAATTCATTCATTTTTTCTTATTTCACATATGCATTCAATATCCAATTGACACTTACCATGTAACAGGCAAAATGAGGAAAATGAAGAAAACAGGTAACAACAAATACAACTCCAAAATGACACTATGGTAGATTGACAAGGCAAATGTGAGCCCTCATACGGTCTCATATATATAAAGAAAACCCTCTTAGAAGTAACATTTGAACTATTATATGGATAATGAGTGAAAGCCCAAATTGTCTAGAGAGTAGAAATTGCTAACAGTGTCCTAGGCAAAGGCAACAGATTGAGGCAGGCTCCAGGGTCAATAGGAAATGAGAGGAGGCCAAAGAGGCTGTGATTTAGGGAGTAAGAAGAGAAGAGTGAACCAAACCTGGAGGAGGCTTGGAAGCTGCTGTGTCAGGGTCAGTGTGAAACCATTCAACAGTGAAAGTAAGGAGTTGAAACTGAGAATCTGTATTTGTTGCAACTATTACTCTGCACTACAAAGAACTGATCAAAAAGACCAGCAAGGGTGTAAGCATAGACATTAATGTTATGGATAAATCCAGAAAGGACACTGGCCTGGATTAGGATAGAAATTGTGGGTATAGATGAAATGATAAATCCAATGTAAATGGGAGGCACTACAGTAAAAGTGAGCTCTGATTCTTGAGGTTAACTAGGACACTGGCTTATGAGGAAATCACTTGGGGAACAGTGATTATTTTGATGAGGAAACATACTTACCTTGCTGGATAGTAGACAGAAGGCATTCTTTTCTGATATCAACACATTTCTCAAGCTCTAATCTGAAATTATCAAATTTTACTAAGTTTTCCTTTAACATTGAACTTCATTCGTTGTGGAGTCTATGAATTATATGGATCTTGTTGCATTAGAAAGAGTTCAATCACTAGTACCTTTCTCTATAACTCAAATCAACAGAAATAAGATGAGGAAGTAAGACAAACATAAAGCTAAAGTATCATTTTTGTAAGTGATAGAGCTGCTATCATGATGTGGGGCTGCTGCTTGTGATCAAGTGAACATTCAAGCCCTGAACTTGGGAATTCTACTCAACCACAATGGTATGTGCAGAGGCAGTGTTGGTTAAAAGCAATAGAATGGAGTTGCAGCATACGACAGAGGCTGTTCTTCATTAAGACATCTTCCAAAGGGAAACAGACTCTTGCACTGAGCTGTACATGTCCATTTCTTCTTTCCAAACTCAGCATTCAGATATAAGAAGGTAGAGAGGGGCCATGAATAAAATGACAACTTGACTCTCTACAAATTGAAAGAACTAGAAAGAAACACTGCTCCCCCAAAGGACTCAAATGCATGTCTTGAACATATTTTAAGAGGTTCTGTCTTCACTCTTATATCAGTCATGTCTGTACATATGCAACATAGCTCATGAACCATTAGAAAGAAAGGTCATTAATTGTTTGGTGTCCAAAGCTTTGTGTACAATGGAGTCAGCCCTTTGTAGCAGATTGCACCAGACTTTGAAGTCAGATTCAAAGGCTTGAATATTATCATTGTTATTGGTTATATTTGTAATATTGGTTGATGTAATTCTTTAACCTCCTGATTTTCACTTGTGGAGCATGAATATCTATTTTCTAAGTGACTCTTGACATCAAGATACCATCTCTGTAAAAGCCTCTGGTGTAGTCAGCACTAATTAAATGCTATTCCTTTCTGTTCATTTTAAGGCATTTCAATAAACACTTCCTAGGTTTCAGAACTCATCTGCCTTTAAATTCTGAAGAACTTTAAGTTTACCTCTATAGAAACTAATAATACTTAGTTCTGATTTGTCACTTTAAGGGAAAGAAATGGGTGTCTGGAATGATGGCTCAACAATTGAGTACTGACTGCTCTTGCAGAGGACCTAGTCTTGGCTCCTACGTGGTGGCTTACAATCTCTTGTAATTGCAGTTCCAGTGGATCCAATGCCCTTTTCTGCTCTCCCTGGGCACCAGGCATGCAAGTGGTGTGCATACTTATATGCAGGAAAAATACTCATTCACAGAATAAAATAAGCAAATTTAAATAAAAGAAGTGCCTGTACTCAGTATTTTGCAAATTCAATAGAAAGCAAAGTCAGTTCTTTGTGGCAATAATGATTAGGTGCTTTGCTTTAAGTTTTGCCTTTTATTCGAGGGATAGCTTAAGAGACCTAGGAGGAAGCTGTCTTCCTACAACAGCTTAATTTTTGCGGTTCTTATGATTTGGTTACTTCAAGAAAGAAGTGGGATTTGGCCAATAAGGTATAGAGCACAAATTTCTTTTCTTTTTCCTTTTCTCTTTTATTATTCAGAGGAGAGCATGAGCGCAGTCCCACTACCACAAATTATGCAGGCTAGTTTCCTGAATTTGAGGAAATTGCAGGGGTCAGCACATCTGGAGTGCAATAGGTATGCCTCGCCTTGGGAAAACCACCTTCATGATCATGGTATCTCCCCTGCCAGGTAAGTATGAGCACAAATTTCTAATCAGATTGGCTTCATAATGCCCTAATTGATGGCTGCCATGTACTCTCCTCTTGTTAGAGGTCACATGTTGGCAAATTGTAAACAAATGCACCCAACAACCATAATCATGTTCACCTTTAAAATATTCAGCCATCGTCCTCTTAAGAAACTTAATATGGAATGTTACACCTCTCTGAGTCTGAATGCAGAAATTTGGGCTGTTATCTCCTTAGTGAAAATGAGGACTGCTCATTTAATTTCACAACTGTAAATGAAACAGGATGACATAAAAACATGTGGCTCAAAACGTCGCCTCAGTGACTGAAGCAATTGTAATACAGATGCATGTTTTCTCATTTTCTCATGGCGAATGAGGGGAGCCCATAACGGTCAAGTCCCATTCTTTGAAGATAAAGTATCTGACAGGCAAGAGGATTTCTCACGAGAGTTTAGGCTGATGTGGCTTTTCCAAATGCCTTCTAGCAAAGAACGACCACACATTCCACAGAAGCAGCTCTTGGAGAGATGAAAGCAATTTTTCCTAAGAGGAGCTGACATTGGTTTTTGAATCCCACAAAGCATATTTAGGTCATTTCTGGATGGGAAAAGTCAGCCTTGGAGATAGATGTAAATTATCTGAAACATATTGATGATTTAAGGGAGAATATGTTTTAGTCTGAGTCAGAATTCTGCCCAAGATACTGGTTATACAATACCACTGAATTTAGTCAACTGACAGTAATATTGATAACATACAGTCAAATCTCTAATCACAATTCAGGACCTAAATAACTCTGAAAGAGAAACGTGTTTTTGAAATTTGTTGCAGATTCATTTGGTAACTGAAATCACTGGGGGTCTCTGAAGCCTGTATCAGTCTTAGGATGAATCTTCATGTCTTTAACTGAATCTTTAATCTTTCACTGGGAGAGAGTTAATGTGTTTGCTCATAGAGAGTTCAGCTCCCTGTAGGGTTTTCAGACATATATCCCCTTGTCTACACTGTTCAAACTGTATTACCTTTCTGAAAGTCCTAAGATCTGTAGATTCAAAATAATTTCTCAGGATCATACATGGTCACCAACTACATTTTCAAGAATGGGTTTCTTTTATTATTCACATATTACTTATGCTTTTATCCAATCAACTCAGCACCAGCTGTACATATTTATTAATCCCAGGGAGCCTACATACCTAAAACCCATCCTAAGGATATATCCTTAGGAAGAGATCTACAGTGTTTTCTCAAGTTCCCTACACTGACAGATCATCAAGTACAATTCTGTATATCACTAAATTCTATTATAAACATTTTCTTTCCTTTCTGTTTTCCTGAACTGTCAATCACTATCTGTATCAGTTTTCTTTAGTTGCATATAGTAAGAATCTGAATCCAGCAGAAGGTCATTTAAAAACTTACTCTGAGTATTTGGTACTCAGAAATTGACAGGGGTGACATGGGTAACCAGCTGCCTATGAGGCAGATGGTGTTCTGATTTGGAGTGTTTGACAGTTTCTGTGGTGTTCATATCCTCTTTGCTCAATTTAAACTTGCCATGGCTCGATAACTGTATCTTTTTTTTCCCCTTTGGTATTTAACAACTGAATCTTGCAAGTTTGTATGAATGCTCTGCAGTTTCTCACTTGTACTGGGTAATTCTTAGAAGTCTGAGATGACTGTTCTCTAAAGTTTCTGGGGTATGCAAGGAAGATTTTACTCTAGCCTCTAGAAGTTTCCTGTGGATAAATGGATCCTGTCCAGAAATTCAATGCCATTAAATAGTGACCTGCTTTCCATCAGACTCTGAGAAAGATCCTTAGTCAATATAGGAATCAATTACTTGGAGCTGTCCCTCAAGTTCCTTATCTCCTTACAGGAAAGATAGTCAGGTTTAACATCACTACCACAACAAAACATGAGCACTGAACATTTATGAGCCTCTGTCCCACTGGTTTCTGTTTACATCCTTCCTCATAACCGCATCAAATTCCTAGGCTTTTCAGGTACTAGGTAAACAAACACACACACACACACACACACACACACACACACACACACACACACACACATACACACACACACACACGCATGCACCCACCCACACCCCTGTGAATGTTCTAAACTTTCTAGACTCCATTTGGTGACTAGTAGGGAGACTATCCAGATTTTGCACACCTATTTTACAATCCCTAGTCCAAACTTTTGAGCACATAGGATTCCTCTTCATGACTTCTTCCATGATGTCTGGGGCTTTATGGAATAGCTTCTCCTTAGGAGAAAAACCTTGCAGCCTCTACTATCATCAAGTTTGCTTAGCATTGACCCTCTCATTCCTGGATGAGTTACCCTCTCTACCAATCTAGTCAAGGACTCTTAGATGCATTATGTAATCAAGACCAATAGTACTCCCACACTGTTCTCTTTCATGCTCAATTGTTTATTCAGTACATGCATAGTGAGTCCTTATCCTATACTAGAAACTATAGTAGACTCGTTAGATGCAAGGATGAAGATGATTGTGTCTGATCCTCAAGAAAGACAAACTACTAATTAGAAAAGGGATGGATATACTGACCACATCAGAACACAGAAATGTAGTTTAAAGGGCGCACTGAACTTTCAGAAACACAATTTTGGCCTGGATTTTGAATGAAGAGATGTCATTTAGGTGTCTGGTGCCAGGACAGCACAGAACATTAGCTTACCCCATGGTCCAAGGCAATGGCAGCCTAGAAGTTCATACAACTGATGTCCTGTGCAGTTGAATTGCTGTCATAACAGGGACACAGGGACACTACATGTTTTGTTTTAAAATCCTCTATATTACACAAAGTCCCAGGACCTTTGGTTATATTTGTATTTTCAAAATTTGGGATGCTGTCTGGCCTTGAGTATCCAAATATTTTTAGAGTATTCAAACAACAAATAACTCCAAAAAAGAAGGAATATGTTTTTGTCTTGGCAAACAAGAGAAATGTAAAAGAACAAACAGAATACATAAATTTGGCCAATTCTAGACAAGAAAAAAACTCCATCCTTCTGGGAGGAAATGGTGTTCAATTATGAGATTTGTTATGTGCTGGAGAGTGAAAATTATTTTTTAGATTCCCATCTTCCTTATATGGGCAGAAATACTTCTATTTCCTGGAGAAAACTTGGTGACTTTGTGGGAAATTTAATCTTCTCTTTGGAGAAAGAAAATTAATCTAAACAACAGAAATCTCATAGATCTGTGTTATTTTGGGAAAAGTGACTGAAATTTGGATAAAAATACATACCAGTTTTCCTGGGATTATCTTGGCTTATGGTGGATATTTGTCCTGGTATATTCATTGGTATCTCCTCCCTTCCCTCTCAGAAATGGTGCATTTAGAATACTAAATTCCTGGATGAAATATTAACTAATAGAGCAATCAGTAGGAATGAACTATGCACAGTTAAATGTAGACATCTACTCTCTGGAGTACAGTTTGAGCATTTGAAAATGAGAAGTTATGTAAATAATCAACAATGAAGAGCCAGATACATTAATAAAGGACACCCCCTCCATGAACATCCTGTGACTGCTGATGTGCCGCTCTAGAGCTCTAGACCAGCATCTAGTTGGAAAGAAACAAAGGGTATAGTGTTAAACACTGACAAAGGCAAGTATATGACAGTGTGTTTTCCTGTTTCATTCTTCCAAAAGAGAAAGAGAGGGGAATGGAGAGGGAAAGAGAAAAAGAGATCAGAGAGGGGTGGAGAAAAGAGATAAGTAAGGGAGGGGAGAGAGAGAGATTTAAAATCAGTTATGGATGCATTTAAATCACTGTTCTTACATTTAATTGCTCAAATTATTCTTTATTCATCCCTTCTAGCTGTCAAATTCCATTTCTTTGCCTGTGAATTGTGGTGTAAAATCAGGAGTAACCTCTCCGCATGCTATTTTGAGGAAATGGTATAGTTGATACATTTGTACCTAGTGAGGAAATGGTATACAGTTGATACATTTGTACCTAGTAGTTCTTTTGCAGTGAGACTCAGGTTCTTCTGGGATTTTTGTAAATAATTAGATACTTTTCTATTGTTGAGCCACATGGTGATGCTACTGGCATTTAATTAAAAAAACACACAGGAATATTGTTAAATATTCTACTGTATACAAGGCAGTTGAATATTCTGCTGTATACATGGCAGTCTCTTTGCCCAAATTATCAGTGGGGCAGAGATTGATAACCAATTTAGAAGTAACAAGTACTAGGTGGGCATGTATGCCTTCTTTCACTGCTGTTATTGATGCTATGATTCAATGTGTGTGTGTGTGTGTGTGTGTGTGTGTAAGTATTGTGTGCATCTTCATTTTATATTACCGTTGTGGTTATGAATATAGAATATTTTAGTAATAAAATAATATTTTCACCTCAGTTTTTTTGAGAGAGAGAGGGGAGAGAGAGAGAGAGAGAGAGAGAGAGAGAGAGAGAGAGAGAGAGAGAGAGAGAGAGAGAGAGAGAACCTCCCGGTGTTGCTCAGAATGGCTGGCACCGAAATCTTCAACTCAATTGATACTCCCACCTCCCACTCCTGAGTACCTGGAACTGCAGGAACATTTCACAGCAGTCAGAATAATAACTTTAATCATTATTTTAAACTTCAACTATAATTGATAACATTACAGAAGCCTCCTAAAGCCAGAGATCAAATCTTATCTACATATGGTAGGTCCTAACATATAACAGGGGTTTAATAGGGCTTGCTGAGTTGAAGTGCACACACACACAACACTGTTGAAAAGGATAGAGTTATAGATGCTAACTTGTATGACTACCTGTATTTTTGTTAGTGCTCTAACAAAGTGGGTAGACTAATTATAATTGGTCTATATAGCTGCAAATTATGTGGCAAGCATCCTTCCTGAAAACATTTTCACCAAATAAACATCTTCTGTGATATGTTCTAACTCCTGGCCATACCCATGCACTAAATCATCACACATGTAACTTTGAAATACATTAAAAGAGTAAAACA